GTTCCCTTTTTTTATGTCAATGTGTTCTTATTATTCAGCTCCCATTTATAAGTAAGAACATGTGGTATTTGGTTTTCCATTCCTTTGTTCATTTACTAAGGATAATGGTTTATAGCCCCATTCATGTTCCTGAAAAATACATGATCTTATTCTTTTTTATGGCTGCATAGTATTCCATGGAGTATTAGGTACATATTTTCAGTATCCAGTCTACTATTGATGAGCATTTAGGTTGATTCCATGTCTTTGCTATTGTGAATAGTGCTGCAATGAATATACACATGTGTTTATGGTAGAATGATTTATATTCCTTTGGGTGTATACCTAGCATTGAGATTGCTGTATTAAATGGTAGTTTTGTGTTTAAGTATTTGAGGAATTGCCACACTTCTTTCCACAATGGTTGAACAAATTTACACTCTACCAATAGTGTATAAGTGTTCACTTTTCTATGTAACCTTACTAGTATTTGTTATTTTTTGACTTTTTAATGGTAGCCTTTCTGACTCAGGTGAAATGGTATCCCACAGTGACTTTAACTTGCATTTCTCTAATGATCAGTGATACTGAGCTTTTCTTCATAAGCTTGTTGCCCATGTGTATGTTTTCTTTTGTAAAGTATCTGTTCATGTCCTTTGTTCACTTTTTAATGAAGTTTTTTTGTAGCTTACAAATTTGTTTAAGTTAGATTTTTGTCAGATGCATAGTTTGTAAGTATTTTTTTCTCATTCTATACCTTGTTTGCTCTGTTGCTGTTGACAGCTTCTTTTGCTTTGCAAAAGCTCTTTAGTTTAATTAGATCCCATTTGTCATTTTTGCTTTTCCTGAAATTGCTTTTGGTGTTTTTGACATGAAATCATTGCCATTTTCTATGGCGATTTTTAAGTTTGTATTTAGGCATTTTCTTAGGTTATATTTCAAAGTTTTTATGCTTTTGGGTTTTACATTTAAGGCTTTAATCCATCTTGAGTTGATTTTTATATATGGTGTAAGGATAAGAAACTTACACATGCAGAACATTCAATTTTCTATATATGACTAGCAAGTTATCCCAGCACCATTTATTGAATAAAATGTCCTTTTCCCATTGTCAGCTTTGCCAAAAATCAGAGCTGTAGGTGGAAGACCTTATTTTGGAGCTCTCTATTCTGTTCCATGGGTCTATGTATCTTTGTGCCAGTACAATGCTTTTTTGATTACTGTAGCCCCTTAGTCTACTTTGAAGTCCTGTGGCATGATGCCTCCAGATTTGTTCTCCTTGCTTAGAATTGCTTTCGCTATTTTGCCTCTTTTCTGATTCCATGAATTTCAAAATAGCTTTTTTCTGGTACTGTGAAGAATGTCATTGGTAGTTTGATGGGAATAGCAATTGAATCTGTAAATTGCTTTGGGCACTATGACCATTTTAACGATACTGATTCTTCCTATCCATGAGCATAAAATGTTTTTCCACTTGTTTATGTTATCACTGATTTCCTTGAGCAGTGTTTTATAGTTCTTATTATAGAGATCTATCATCGTTCTGGTAGCTATATTTTCTAAGCATTTTATTTTATTTGTGGCTACTGCAAATGAAATTGCATTACTTATTTGGCTCATGGCTTGAATGTTGTTTGTGTGCAGAAATGCTAATGATCTTTGTATACTGATTTTGCATATTGAAACTTTGCTGAAGTCGCTTATCCACTTAAGGAGCTGTTGGGTGAGACTGTTGGGTTTTTTAGATATAGAATCATGTCATCAGAAAAGAGCAATAGTTTGACTTCCTCTCTTTGTATTTGGATGCCCTTTATTTCTTTTTCTTGTCTGACTGCTCTGGCCAGGACTTCCAAAGCTATTAAAATATGTTGAACAAAAGTGATGAGTTTGTGCTGGTTTTCAAGGGCAATATCCTAGCTCTTGCCCATTCAGTATGATGCTGGCTGTGGGCTTGTCATAGATGACTCTTACAATTGTGAGGTACATTCCTTCAATATCTAGTTTGTTGATTTTTTAACATGAAGGGATGTTGAATTTTGTCTAAACAGTTTTCTGCATCTACTGAGATAATCATGTGGCTTTTGTCTTTAGTTCTCTTTACATGATGAATCACATTTATTGATTTGTATATGTTGAACCAACCTTACATTGTGGGGATAAAACCTACTTGATTGTGGTGGATTAACCTTTTGATGTGCTGCTGGTTTCAGTTTTCTAGTATACTTTTGAGAATTTTTTCATCAATGCTCATCAAGGGTATTGGCCTAAAGTTTTTTTTGTTATTGCAGTGTTCTCTGCCAGGTTTTGGTATCAGGATGATAGAATGAGTAGGGAGGATTCCCTCCTCAAATTTTTTTTAATAGTTTCAGCAGGAATGTAACCAGCACTTCTTTGTACATCTGGCAAAATTCAGCTGTAAATTCATCGGTTCTTTTGGTTGGTAGGCTATTTATTATTGATTCAATTTTAGAATTTGTTATTGGATTCAATAACAAAAATTCAATCCTGTTTAGGATTCAATTTCTTCCTGGTTCAGTTTTGAGAGTGTGTGTTTCCAAGTATGTATCTTTTTCTTCTACATTGTCTTGTTGGTGTGCATAGAAGTGTTCTTAGTAGTCCCTGATGGTTATTTGTATTTCTGTGGAGTCAGTGATGCCATTCCTTTTGTTGTTTCTAATTATGTTTATTTGGATTTTCTCTCTTTTCTGCTTTATTAGTCTAGCTAGGACTTTATCTTATTAATATTTTCAAAACACCAATTCTAGATTTGCTGATCTTTTCAATGATTTTTTTTGTGTCTTGATTGTCCTTAGTTCAACTCTGATTTTGCTTATTTTTTGTTTTCTTCAGATTTTTTTGTGGTTGGTTTGCTCTTGCTTCTCTAGTTCTTTTAGTTGTGATGTTAGGTCATTAATTGTAGATCTTCCTAAGTTTTTGATGTGGGCATTTAGTGCTATACATTTCCCTCTTAAGACTGGCTTATTTGCGTTCCAGTGATTCTGATACATTGTATCTTTGTTCTCATTAGTTTCAAATAATTTCTTGATTTCTGCCTTAATTTCATTATTTACCCAAAAGTTATTCAGTAGCAGGTTGTTCATTTCTATGTAATTGTATGGTTGAGGCCATTTTCTTAGACTTGATTTCCATTTTTTATTTGACTGTAGTCTGAAAGTGTGGTTGATATAATTTTGTGGGGTTTTATGCATTTGCTGAGCATTATTTTATGTTTGATAGTGTGACAGTTTTAGAGTATGTGCCATGTAGCAATAAGAAGAATGTTTATTCTGTTGTTGGGGGGTGAAGACTTTTGTAAATGTCTGTTAGAACCATTTGTTCCAGTGTTTAGTTCAAGTCCTGAACATCTTTGTTAATTTTCTACTAAAATGATCTGTCTAATACTGTCAGTGGAGTGTTGAAGTCTCCCACTATTATTGTGTGGTAGTCTAAGTCTCTTTGTAGGTCTCTAAGAACTTGCTTTATGATCTAGGTGCTTTATGATCTAGGTGCTTTATAATCTAGGTGCTCCTGTGTTGGGTGTATATGTACTTAAGATAGGTCTTCTTGTTGAATTGAAACCTTTACCATTATGTAATGCCCTTTTATGTCTTTTTTCATCTTTGTTGGTTTAAAGTCCATTTTGTCTGAAATTAGGATTGCCACTTCTACTTTTTTCTGATTTCCATTTTACTTGGTAGATTTTCCTCCATCTCTTCTTTTTTGTCTTTTCTTTTTTTTTTTCTTTTTTTGAGCCCATAGGTGGCATTGCATGTCAGATAGGTCTCTTGAAGATACCATACCATTGGTTCTTGCTTTTTTAGTTTACCACTCTGTGCCTTTTAAGTGGGGCTTTAGTCCATTTACATTCAAGGTTAATTTGGTGTGGATTTTATACTATTTTTTTGTTAGCTGATCATTATGCAGATTTGCTTATATGGTTGTTTTGTAGTGTCAGTTGTCTGTGTACTTCAATGTGATTTTTATTGACTGGTAATTGTCTTTTGTTTCCATATTTAGTACTTCTTTCAAAGAGTTCTTGTAAGACAGGTCTAGGGGTAATGAATTCCTTTAGCATTTGCCCATATGAAAAGGGTCTTACTTCTCCTTCACTTAGGAAGCTTAGTTTGGCTGGATATGAAATTTTCGATTGTTGATTTTTTCCCCCGTAAGAATGTTGAATGTAGGCCCCCAGTCCCGTCTGGTTTGTGGTTTGATGGAAATCTACTTGTAGCTGATCTCTGCCTTTAAGATTCTTCTTTAATTTCAACTTTGGAAAATCTGATGACTATGTTGTGTCTTTGGGATGATCCTATGTAGAATCTTGAAAGGATTTTCTGTATTTCCTGAATTTGAAGGTTGGCTACACTTAATGAGGTTGGGGATGCTATCATAGACAATATCTCAAAATATGTGTTCCAAGTTGCTTACTCTCTCCCCACCTTTTTCAGAGATGCCACTGATTCATATAATTTGGCCTTCTTACATAATGTCATACTTCTCAGAGGTTTTGTTTATTCCTTTTCATTCTTTTCTCTTTGTTCTTATCTGATTGTATTATTTCAGAGAACCAGTCTTCCAGCTCTGAGATTCCTTCCTCAGCTTGGTATATTCTGCTAGTAATACTTATGAATATACTGTGAGATTCTTGTAGTGTGTTTTTCAGCTCTATAGGATGTTTGGTTTATTTTTCTTATACTGGCTATGTCATCTCTAAGCTTCAGTAAAATTTTATTATATTCTTAGTGTCCAAGAACTGGTTTTTGTCATTCTTCATTCCTATCCATATTGTGAATTCTATTTCAATCATTTCAGCCATCTCAGCCCTGTTAAGACACTTGTTTGAGAGCGAGTGTGGTCAGTTGGATGACAAGAGACATTTTGGACATTTGAGTTGCCAGTATTCTTGTGTTGGTTTTTTCTTATCTCTTTGTTTGGGTATTTCTCTAACTGTGGTGTCCAGTAAGTACAGTCAGTAGACTTCTTTTCTGGATGTTTTCAGGGACCTGGTACTGTTCAGGTACAAAAATATGGAACATTTCACAAATTTGTGTGACATCATTGTACAGAGGCCATGCTCTTCTTCTCTGTATGATACCAATTTTAGTATATGTGCTGCTGATTCAAGCACTATAGACTTCCATTTGTTTGAATTTTTACATTTAACATGATAAATCAATAAAAATATGTATAATCAACAATGTAATACAGAGATTTTTGGGGGGTTGAAAAAAGAATCCCTTGAGGACAAATCAAGCCTCATTTTGTAATTGTTCATTCAACCTGATTAAATCCATAGAGTAACCTCCTTTCTTTTTGCTTATGTAGTTCTTTAAGCTGCTCCTCACAGTCTGGGATAAAGTGTTTAAAGCAGTACAGCTCTTCATTTTATCTTAAGTGCCTTCTCATTAATACCCACAGAGGGGACAAGACAATAATGTTAAAACATGCAGAAACAAGAAAAAGTTCAAGAGACAATTACATCTGTAACATCTTCTCTTGAATAGTCACTTTTTTATTTCACAAAATTATAGTTTTGGAAGATCTCTAGAGGATATCTTACTAAAACTTGAAAAATCTCTCATAAGTGGTCTCCATATCCTCTCTAAAAATCTCCATTAAGCCAAAAGGAATGTTTTTTTCTCCCAAGAGGACTTGTTTTAATTTTTGACATCTACAAATATTATTTATTTTATACTGAGGCAATTATATACTTCCTTTTGCTATCTACACGAGTCTATTTCTAATCAAATGAAGTTGTTAAAAATTTAAGAAATAATCTATAGTCTTTTTATATGTTATATAGGGTTTTGCTTAAGTTCATTTTTAAGGTTATATTATTTGTGGAAAATGTCTTCTTTCCTTATATAATCATGTTCCCTTCTCCAGTTAAATTCTTAAAACTTTCCTAATGGATCTTATATTTAGGCATTTAATAAGGTTTTATCTCCTCTGTGAACCATCTCTTCATATCAATTACTCTAGTAAGAGCCATGTCTTTATGTTTAGCACCACCTATAATTGCTGAGGTTTCCTCATATGTAGGTAGTCATGCTTTCCTTGTCAAGCTCTGTAAATCACATTTTCACACACATGGCCATTATCTGATTTATATAATGTAGGGAATCCATGAGCCCCACACATTGGGTGCCAGAATGCAGGATCAATGAGTCCACATTGGGCACCAGAATATAGGTAGCCAGCCCTACATCACCAGTGGTTACCCCAAGTTCAGGGGTGATAAAGGAATGAGAAAAAGACAGATTAAGAGTGCAAAGAGTGGGAATGGGGGCCATCACTTATTACTTTGGAGGAGGCAGTGAAGGCCCCAGGCTCTGATGATCTACCCTATGTATTGGTTACAATAACTTTGATCTATAAGATAGGGGTGGAGTGATAGTGGAAAGACAGTGACATGATGGTAGAGTAAATCAGTGAGCAGGAAATAACTGAATCAGTGAGCTGGAACTGGTGTGTCATCCTAAGGATTGATAACAGTGGCAGTTCGGGAGTTTTACAAAACAAGAACATGTGGCTTTCTTTAACTTATTATCTATGTACAGCAGATGGAATGCAGACCTTACAGGAAGCCTACAAGTCTGGCTTCAACCTAGTGCTAAGAAGGAGTTTTACGTCCTTGAGCACAATGTTTATAATAGAGCCGAGGCCAGCCTGCACCAGAACATGAGGCATGGAGAGACTTTCCTCCTCAGAGGCCTACTGCGGCCTTTCACAGTTTGTTGTTCCTTGTTTATATGTGATTCATAACCAATTTATGTAGGCACTCTGTAAGTCCTTTCTCCTTTGCTGCTTTTCCCAACAATGTAGGAGTAGAGGACACTTTCTGATATCAAGGCATCTGTCTGAAGCTTTCTACTCACTTCTAACAGTGATAGAGAAAGTACTCAGCCTGGACATCTGGGTGCTACCAGAAAATGAAGCAAAAGAGTCAGACATTCTTGGAAAACAGTCAATCATTCATTAATCCACTAAATATTAAGTTGTTACTAAATAAATATGAAGTATAAGATACTATGCCAAGTTCTTTGGGAAACATCAAGGAAACAAATGGCCCCTTCCTTTAAGAAACCTACAATCTATTGCCAGAAAAAAATTCACACTTTCCATTTTGTTGATCTTTTCAAAAAACCAGGTCCTGGATTTGCTGATTTTTTTGAAGGGTTTATGTGTCTCTGTCTCCTTCAGTTCTGTTGTGATCTTAGTTATTTCTTGTCTTCTGCTAGTTTTTGAATTTGTTTGATCTTGCTCCTCTAGTTCTTTTAATTGTAAAGTTAGGGTATAATTTTAGATCTTTCCTTGCATATCTTATGGGTATTTAGTGCTATAAATTTCTCTCTAGACATTGCATTAAATGTTCCAAGAGACTCCAGTACTTTGGGTCTTCATTCTCATTGGTTTTGAAGAACATCTTTATTTCTGTCTTCATTTCATTATTTATCCAGTAGTCACATTCAAGAGCAGGTTGGTCAGTTTCCATGGAGTTGTGTGGGTTACGGTGAATTTCTTAATCCTGAGTTCAAATTTAATTGCACTGCAGTCTGAGAGACTGTTATGATTTTGGTTCTTTTGAATTTGTTTTACTTCCAATTATGTGGCCAATTTTAGAATAAGGGATATGGTGCTGAAAAGAGTATGTATTCTGTGCATTTGGGGTGGGGAGTTCTGTAGATGTCTAATAGGTCCACATGGTCCAGACCTGAGTTCAATTCCGGGATATCCTTGTTAATTTTCTGTCTCATTGATCTGTCTAACATTGCAGTGGGGTATTAAAGTCTCCTATCATTATTATGTGGAAGTCTAAGTCTCTTTGTAGGTCATTAAGAACTTGCTTTATGTATCTGGGTACTCTTCTATAGGTGCACATATATTTAGGGTGGTTAGCTCTTCTCATTGCATTGATCCCTTTACCATTATGTAACACCCATCTTTGTCTCTTTTGATGTTTGTTGGTTTACAGTCTGTTTTATCAGAGACTAGGATTACAACCTCTGCTTTTTTTGCTCTCCATTTGCTTGGTAAACCTTCCTCCATCCCTCATGTGTCTTTGTACATGAGAGAGCCCTCCTGAATAAAGCACACTGACGGGTCTTGACTCTTTATCCAATTTGCCAGTCTGTGTCTTTTGATTGGGACATTTAGCCCATTTACATTTAAGATTAATACTGTTATGCGTGAATTTGATCTTGCCATTCTGATGCTAGGTGTTTATTTTACCCATTAGTTGATGACTTAAAACTATACTACAATGCTATAGTAATCAAAACAGCATGGAATAGAGGCAATAAATGCAACAGAATAGAGGCCTCAGAAGCAATGCCACACATCTACAACCATCTAATCTTTGACAAACCTGACAAAAACAAGCAATGGGGAAAGGATACCCTATTTAATAAATGGTGTTGGGAAAACTGACTAGCCATAAACAGAAAGCTGAAACTGAATCCCTTCCTTATACCTTATACAAAAATTAACTCCAGATAAATTAAAGATTTAAACATAAGACCTAACACCATAAAAACCCTAGAAGAAAACCTAAGCAATACCATTCAGGACATAGGTATGGGCAAAGACTTCATGACTAAAACACCAAAAGCAATGGCAACAAAAGCCAAAATAGACAAATGAGATCTAATTAAACTAAAGTGCTTCTGTATAGCAAAAGAAACTATCATTAGAATGAATCAGCAACCAACAGAATGGAAAAAACTTTTTACAAACTACCCATCTAAAAAAGGGCTAATATCCAGAATTTACAAAGATCTTAAACAGATTTCCAAGAAGAAAAAAACAACGCCATCAAAAAGTGGGCAAAGGATATGAACAGACACTTCTAAAAAGATGACATTTGTGCATCCAACAAACATACGAAAAAAAGCTCATCACTGGTCATTAGAAAAATGCAAACGAAACAACATTGAGATACCATCTCATGCCAGTTAGAATGGTGATCATTAAAAAGTTAGGAGAAAACAGACACTGGAGAGGATGCAGGAAATAGGAAAAGTTTTACACTGATGGTGGGAATATAAATTAATTCAACCATTGTGGAACACACTGTGGTGATTCCTCAAGAATCTAGAAAAAGAAATATGATTTGACCCAGCTATCTAATTACTGGGTATATAACCAAAGGATTCGAAATAATTTTATTATAAAGGCACATGCACACGTATGTTTATTGCATCACTGTTCACAATAGCAAATACTTGGAATGAATCTAAATGCCCATCAATGATAGACTGGATAAAGACAATGTGGCATATATATACCATGGAATACTATGCAGCCATAAAAAGGATCAGTTCATGTCTTTTACAGGGACCTGGATGAAGCTGGAACCCATCATTCTCACCAACCTGATAGAAGAACAGAAAACCAAATACCACATGTTCTCACTCATAAGGGGGTATTGAACAATGAGAACACATGGACACAGGGAGGGGAACATATGACACCAGGGCCTGTTGGGGGGCAGGGGGCTGGGGGAGGAATAGCAGTGGGTGTGTAGATTGGGGAAGGATAATATTAGGAGAAATACCTAATGCAGATGATTGGGTGATGGACACATCAAACCACCATGGCATGTGTAACAAACCCACACATTATGCACGTGTACCACAGAACTTAAAGTATAATAAAAATATTTGCACTTCCATAGCTAATATATTGAGGTATTTTCTCTAAGTTAAAAAGGCAAGAAAATAATATTTATAGAAGTAAACACTTATGAGAAAACATATAATTATAAACTAATTTAATAGTTATTCATAACATATATGTTAAGGGGTGACACAGAGCAGAGAAATTCCAGATGAAGTTACGCTTTGGTATTAGTTTATTTTTGCTTCAAAATGTTCTGTGGAAGCCTTTGAGCTGAGCCATGGGGTCTGCAAACTTAACATATCAAAGGCTGGAAAAATTAATCCCCTTGGACAAAGCTTCCCAGCATCAGCTCTGCTCTTACCCTTAATATCGCATTTCATGGAAGCCGAAGAGAGTCAATAAGTGGAAAATCCAAAAAAAGAAAAAACAAACCTGGTACAAAATGCATGTTCTTTCTTATGCCAAGTACAGAGGCTGCCTTATGAGAACCATACAGCCTTCCCAGGG